ATCTTCAAATTGAATATTTTTTGCTTATTAGATTTTTGGGTTTAGTAAATGTAGAGTGGGTATGTCTCTTATGGTGTTGTTATCTTGATACGTTTTATTTTTCACTACTTTGATTGTTCCACTTTATGATATCTACCGAATAAGCCTTAATGTCGGTAATCATGATTCTCAATTAAGGACAAAAAGGCGTTCAAGTTACGAAAAACTGGTACTTTAGTTTGGGATTTTATACCTTCAGACTCTACCATGGTCACATCAATTAAATCTTTGTCTGCAACATTGACATTATCACAATTGTATTGATTTGTAATGAAGAGATAGCAGTTTCAATTTGGTGAGGTTCCATATTCATGGATCTCATCTGACATGGTCCTTAAGAGCAATCAATAACGATATCTCTAACAGGACATTTGCTGGAAATTAAAGAAAAGGAGATACATTAAGGAAACTAATCTGAATATTGGAGTCTATTGTCACTATTTGTTTCTCAGTTGATATCTTCTGTGGCAGTAAGTAGATCTGAAAAAGGGCTCTAAATTGGTGATGCAATAGGTATATCTATTTCCCCCAGTTCAAAATCAGTGGGTAGAAAAGAGCAACCATTGGCATATGTCCTACATGCGGATATTGAACATGTGGTAGTGAAGCTAATAAAATGTAAATTTTAGAACTAATAAAATGTAGATTTTAGAACTAGCAGATTTGGTGCATATGACTGGAGGTTTATGGAACATATTTCATTGTCATGGTGAGAGTGCTACTTGTACTACTCTATTTTCCATCTTCCATCCTATCTTGAATGTTTGTTTGCGCAAATCTCAATATTGCCATGTGCAGGGCAGCACCCGCAAGATCAATTTCTGTCAATCATGTGGTGGCCCAACAAAACATGAGATACCAAATGGAGAGGAGAATATGAGGGCAGTTTGCACTGTTTGCGGAAAGATTGCATACGTGAACCCAAAAATGGTAAAACTTAACTACTTTTGAGTTTAAATAAATACTACAGGCAGAAGATTCTAGAGTTTCTTAACTTGATTTCAAGTTAGTTAACTAGGCTTCAGCATCTTTTATAACAACTGTGTTAGTTTACAAATATGTAATATAGAAATATTATCCTGGTAATTTTCTAAAGAGAGCAAGCTATGCAGGGAGTCAATACATAAGTACTTAGTTAAAGTACTTAAGGTGTACAAAGTGAGCTTAGTACCAAAGACTTAAAGTTCTGGTTTGATTAGGAGAATTTGAGTTGATTCGTTTTGATATATGTTAGTGACAGAATTTGAGTTGATTCGTTTTGATATATGGTAGTGGCAATTCCAGGGTACTTGTTTCTTGCTAGATTTCCTGCTCCCTTGCTCCATAAAGGAAAGGAAAAAAGGCTCAACCTTTTCATCGTTCAGTGTCTTTCCATTGTTGGAATTTGCATGCATTTGGCAATAGGACCAGATGCATAGAGAAAACAGAATCTAGTAGGATAAAGCATTAGGTTTTATTAAGTTGCATGTTCTGCTCAACCTGATAGTCCTGGCAAGAACTGCCAACTGTAAACTTTGGTGATGATTCATTAATGAAAATAGATCGTCTTCTAGTAGGAACTATTTCATGATTTTTTTGACCTAGCAAATGCAGAATTAAATCTTACATACTCTCTGGATGATAAGATCTAATCAGATGGACAGTTTTCTGATACCCAAAAAAAAAATCTACGTGTTAATTCGCCATGGTTTGCCTTTGTTCCTCTTTCTTTTTGGTAATTTTTAGCAGGATCTCTTGAATGAATTGCTTCCAAATCCATGCCACATTTTAATTGAAAAGGAATTTTCTGCTTTCTTGGAAAACTAGTGTTGGTCTAGGACAAAATAAAATTGGAAAACTTGTTAAATATCTCTATTGGATACATTGAGAGAATGGTATTCTGTACTATTTGTGGGCTTGAATGATTCTTCTGACCAATCACAAGATAAGCAGTAGATGGTTCTAAATGTTGGAAATGAAAGAAATATGATGTTTACATTGATGTTAGCTGAGTCTTTTGATGTGTAGGACTATGCAATATGAACATTATTGTTCATGATCTATCCTGGTTTTCTAATTGACTGTTTAGACATAAAGCTAGAACTTTCTCCTAGGTTTTGGTTTTTTTTTTTTGTTTTGGTTATTTTCATTGACTACTTTCTCACTGCTAAATGTTAGGTCGTAGGTTGTTTGATTGAGCATGAGGATAAGATACTGCTATGCAGGCGAAAGATCCAACCATCATATGGCCTTTGGTATTTACTTAGATCAGAGCTAGTTCATCATGAACTTTTTTGTATTAAAATAGTTCTTTAACTAATTGGTCTCACAAGTTTAATCGCTGAGTATTTTGATGTTAATTTGATTTTGGTTTTCTTTCCTATAGGACGCTTCCTGCTGGTTACATGGAGATGGGCGAATCTGCTGCTGATGGTGCAACTAGGGAAACATGGGAAGAGGCAAATGCAGAAGTGGATATTTTGTCCCCCTTTGCACAATTGGATATACCTCTTATAGGTCAGGTGAGAAAAAAAATCTCTGTTAAAGCTGTATTTGTATGTACTTGCCACAGTAATTATAGCTGTATTTTTATCTACTTGTCAGAGTAATTATTGCCTCTTCTTTTGAAACAGACATACATCATTTTTCTAGCTAAGTTGAGGAGGCCCCACTTTCACCAGGTCAAGAATCATCAGAGTGCAGGCTCTTTGCACTAGATGATATTCCATTTGATTCCTTGGCATTTTCATCGATGTTGGTTACCTTAAAACTGGTATGATCTGGATCCAAAACTAAGAATTTCATTCTCCAAATACTTGTTTCAATCTGCAGTTGTCTCAATTTCTTACTTTTTGTTAATGTAGTACATTGAAGATCGACAGGTTGGAAAGCCCAAGTTTCACTATGGCATTATAAACAAAAGGTATTCTTCATTTTTCTTAATTTGCTTTCTTCATTTTCTGGTGTTTCTGCTGTCACTTTGTTGTAAGCTTGAGAAACAGAAAAAGATAGGACATCATCGCCATCAAACTCCTGGTACTATGAAAGTTCTTTGTATGTGGCTCCTGTATCTCATCTTTAGCGTAAATCAACCAGCTCAGTTCCGCATTTGACAATGTCCACTGTCCTAGTGTGGTTGAGAAGTATGTAAAAGGCTGTTAGGTTCAATGGCATTTTAGAAGGGACCTCCAGGGGGAGCTTATTTGTTGTTGTCATTCTATAATTGATAACTACCTTGTCTTCTTATTTGAGAGGGCATCAAAGCGATTGATTTCAGAATTCTGTTCTTTCCTTCAGCAACTTAACTCGTGTTTGAGTGGTGTGATGGCAAGAGAGAGGCAAATTATTGTGCTCGCATAGAAAAAAGGCTCACTTAACAGTGAAAATCCTGTGGATTTTTAGTGTTCTCTTTCTTTGCTTTGTCTTCATGCCTTGTCTTGATTCCAGATAGTACAAAACCATGTTGTGAAGTTCATCTCAAGGCAGTTGCTAAGATGGTCTAGTAGTTGAATTGGTTAGCATTGTGGCTAATTCACTCCAACTGTTTTATCAGGTATATTATTCAGATAACTCAAGAGCTTTAACATTCTTTCTCTCCTGTTGATTGTTGACAGGCCTGGACCAGCCCTTCTGAAATTTATGCTTACACGCTTGATGATCACATGAAATCCTAATTGTGTGTAACTTTTGTTGATAAGTCTGCGCAGATCCAACTGAGATTCATTGCTGCAGCAACCACTGCTGTTGTACATATTTTGATGCGCCTCTGTTTTAACTTGTAAATGATGAGCAAGTAAAGCAGTATCCGAAAATTTCCTGTATTTTATGCAATTCAAAAGTAAAATCACTGTCATTTGATTCCTCTAGTGCGGATGTATTCCTAGTCTCGGACAGCATGCTGAAGGGAACATCTATTAGGAATATCAACTCAAAACAAGGTCCTTCCGCATTTTCTGCGGAGTTCTGGATTTACAAAATACAACTACTTCTGTTGCAAATGTCCTGTTTCCATCTTCTCCTACTCAGATAATCTTGTCATGCCTATGTGATTTTCTGCTAAGACCTTCATTCTTATGCCTTGATATAATCATATAGCAAAACTTTATTGACATAAAATCTGAAGGGCAGGATACCTATCCCTACTTGAGAGGCCAGAAAAAGGGTTATGTATATTCAAGTAAATGACGGGTGAAAAGGTGACGGTGCATTGAAGTAGGATCGAAACTGCCAGTTTGCAGTCCAAAGTCCGATGAGAATCAGAACTGCCCTTTATGTGACTACGCACTTAAGTTTGAGTTCATAATTTTTAGCAATGGTGTAGCTTGATAGTAGAAGGTTCTGCTGTCTACGAGGTTTCTTGGATCCGCAGGCTGTAAGTAGTATAAACAAATGCATCACAAATCTTGAAAGCATAGCATCTGAAAAGGTACTACCATTTCGAACAAGCTACAAAGTTGGTAGGAAAATATAGGGCGTCTATGCTCAGTCAACTGCTTACTCGTAAACGTTTTATCAGGATCGAATAATTTATAGCTAACTGGTTGCAAACAAATAATCAAATCTTTCTTTCAAGTATCAGTGCTACGGTACTGATGTAGTACTTCATTTATCTCCCACTTGAGCAAATTTAACAATAAATTAAGAGTTCATAGTACGTAAACCCACGATTTGTTGTCACTGAGAAGTTGGTACCTGCAAGCTGCAGATACAGTAAAATTTCCTTTTGTTTTTAGGGTTAGATCGAAGGATGTAACTAAATTCAGGAAAGTCCAGTCTTGTGGTCTCAAAAAAAATTTACAATAGGACGCATGAGCTAAAGTTAATCTATTATGTCAAGAAAATTAAAAGCTCAACAAATGCAGAAATATATTATACTCTTAATCGATGAAATTTAAAGTTCAATATTCACGCAACACAATTCCCACATTCTACAAGCAATAGAACGGAGGATGTTATTTATCTTACATTATAACTCCTGCTGGCTAAAAGCAAATAGAAATAAAAACAAGAACAAGATGTGCATCTTTACAAGCTGCTTGGGTCACACTAGTCCAGGACAAATTGGATCCAAGTAGTTTCTGCTGCGTAATCTGATCAACAGTTTGGATCATCTCTTGTGTAAGATGATTCTTCCAATCCTCAACTGTTCCCTTTCTGAAGTATGCACTGTTTGGGATCTCGACAGAAGCAGAAAGCCGGTGCTTACCATTCTTGTTAACATCTACACTACTCAAGTTGTCAAAGCTACACACATCAGCGATCTTTTGAGGTACACCATGCTCCTCTTCCTCCGCGGAAAATGGTTTTCCCATGAACTCAGCCATTTTTCTGATGTGAAGCAAGATATCCTTCTTCAGACCTTCGTATTTCAGGAACAAGACTGCATCTGGCCTTTCAAGACTTGCTTTCCAGTACCCCAAAACATGATCCCAATACGGCCCCCCTCCAATACATATGGCAATAGGAAAAGCTCACAAAACTGCTGAAACGAGTCTTGGAGCGGGTGCTGTTGGATTAATGTTGCTTCGGAGTCATTGTTCATCCTCATCTTGTTTGAGAAGTGAGCATAAAAAGTAAGAGTAGCCTTCGTTCCCTGCATATGTATATGATTTTCGAGCCCGATTTCTGTATGGATTCTGGCAGTGAAGTATAGGGCCAGTGTGTTGAGACGAGCGGGAGAAGGTTATGAAAGGTCTGTTGTTTTCGGGTTTTCAGCAAGATCAACTTCCAGAAATGGCACGAGAAGATGGGGGAGCTTGCTTAGCAAGGGTTGGATTTTTCGTGGGTGATGGTCCTTGTTTGAATGGCAAAACACAGGCCTTTAGCCAGGTGGCTCCTGTTTTGGGAGCACTGCACAAGAAAATATCAGTTGTTTGAGCTTGGAAATTTTTGTTGAAGTGCAATGACTCCTTCTAACGGGGGTAAAGGATACCAAAATCCTTGGTACTGATACAAATATCCAGAGATGCCAGGCCAGTATCTTTTGGAAGTTTGTTGGTGCCCATGTCCAAGGATTCTTTTGAATGAGAATGAGCAGCAGTTAAAGAAATGCTGCTCATTGCTAAGGGACTGGAGGACTCCGGAATTTAGGATGGATGGGAGATAGATGAACACCGATTTAGTGTTTTTTGTGGGCTATGGCAAGTGATTATAACTAGGTATTTATATTGGAGGTTTGATGGTTGTTGGTGCAAAAAGCAATAATATGGACCAATTAATGTGATTGATGGTTATACTAATAACGATATGATATTCTTGTAATAAAAAAATGATGTGATATTGGCTTATAGTAAATTATACTTTTCTAACAAGCTGATAAAGGTAATTCTTGGCTGAATAGATAATTAATTATTGTATTTTTGTTGGTTGCAGTAACGTGTCATAACTTTTGCAATATTCTTTTACTGGACAAGGGGCACAAACGGTTGCAGCAGGTTGTGTGCATTTTGCACTGTGAGTAACATCGATTGCACACGGTGTAACTTTCTTTGCACACGACGTAACTTTAGAACGAATTTTTGTGGGTCTCACACTTGGCGTGAAAATCGAGTTACAAGACGTGATCTGAACGCACAAAATTTTGAGGCCAAATCATGGCCGTCCACTGGCAGGAACTCTGACAACCGTTCCTGCCCCATTTCCTCTTTTATTTGTGTTGGACGAGTTTTTGTGGGCATCAATTTAGTGCTTTTGGTGGGCTATGGCAATTGATCATAATAGGTATTATTTATATTGGAGGTTAGGTGGTTGTAGATGCAAAAGCAATAATAATATTATAGATAGTAGATCTATGGACCAAATAATGTGATAGTAGTTTTTTTTTTTTTTTGGGGTAGGGGAGGAGTAGGATTTAAGAAGAGGGAGGGTAATTTGATCCTAGAACCTTTATGTTGTGGAGCTCAACTAATGTCATAGTTAGTTGTATCTAAAGAAAATAATAATAATAATAATAATAATGATGTGATAGGGGTCTGTATTAATTAGTATTTTTTTACTAGGTTGATAAAGGTAATTCTTGGCTAAATAGATATTTAATTAGTTGTATTTTTGTTGGTTAATGTGTCATATCTTTTGCAATATTCTTTTATTGTATTGCTTGATTCTAATTCTCTGTTGCCTTAGTTTCAAATCTTTGTGACATATTTTTTTCCCAATTATAAAATATCATTTTCCACTAATTTCTTTTTTTTTTTTTAAACAAGGATTCTAGTGGTATACATTACAAAATTATAATTTTGAAAGTTACATACATACTAAAACTTTCTCAATCCTTAATTTGTATGTTTGAGATTTTTTTTTAAAGATTTGTAACAATATCTATAAATCAAGGGATGGAAATAATAAAATATGGGATAACGAGATATAGAATAACGATGGACATGAAAATGTTTTAGAAATTTATATGTCTAATACATATGTATAGAATAAAACGGGCATGGTCAGTAGATGAAGCCTCTACAACACAAACAACATTGATTGCAATTTAGCAAGTTTCAATATGCTAATCTTTGGTATACAAATCCTGCATGATTTTTTGGCCAAATTAATCACATGAGAACCATCATACTAGATAATATATGTAAATGGATAAGATATTATTGAAATTAATATAATTACATCAAGTTTTTACGTCGGCTGCTTGTTTCGGCTCTTATATTTACATTGATATTTACTGTTTAGTACATATTACTAAGTAGGGTGTTCATGTATGTATCATACATTATACCCTCAATCAAAATATCAGGTAATTCACTGGCTGTCCAAAAGATGATACTTAGAAACTTTATCAGCTAATGACTGACTAAATGATGCAACTGTCGTACTAAATATTTTCTCCAAACCAAGGAGGGATGGTCTAATGAGTGCCTTGTAGACATTAATACAATTGGAGCCCAGATGATTATTTTTCGTAATGTGAAGTTGAATCAAAGAAGTGACCAAGGGTTAAAAAGAGTGTTTTTGTGCATACACCTGCACGGATCAAAGAAAAATTCACCAAAGAGTAGCTGTACTTGATTCTGATTACGCGTACTAACTTTTGTTCATACGCCTGCACAGATCCAACTGAGATTCATCATTACGGCAACACTGCTGTTGTACAGATTTTGATGCTTTTCTGTTTTCACTTGTTAATGATGAGCAAATTAATAAAGCAGTATATGAAATCTACCCATGTTTTATGCAGTTCAAAGGTAAAATCACTGTCAAGTAGTATGGTTCAAAGTCTCTGCCGAGACCGAGACAAACTCGGCTTAGTTGTTATCGGAACCAACCCTCGATAAAGTCTCTGCCGAGACCGAGACAAACTCGGCTTAGTTGTTATCGGAACCAACCCCTTCGATATGATATCGGGACGAGATAATTTCGAAATACTTGACTCGCTGAGAATTCAGCCGAGTCACCGAGAACTTGGTCAAGAAGTCTCTGATACGGATAGTCTCGGTCAAGTCATCTCGAATCAACTCGCAAATTTACATTTTATCGATTTTTTTTTGCTAAGTTTTTTAATTTTTGTTTAGAATATTTTTGAATATTATTCATAATTTTTAGAATATTAAATGTTTTAAAATTTGCGTCCCGTCGAAACCGTGACCGACATGCCGAGATCGATGTGAAACGATTCGGGCTGCGACCGTGACTTTGAACCATGCTGTCAACTAATATCCTCTGGTTCGGGTGTATTTAGTCTTGGAGAGTATGCTGAAGGGAACATTTACCAGGACTATCAACTCAAATCAAGATCCTTATTATTTTTTTGAAAGATCTTCCTCTTTTGCTGCAGAGAATACGATTCACAACTACTTGGGTTCGTACTCAGATGATGATGTGTTACATTTGTTAGTTTTGATGTTGCGAAGGGCAAATCCCCCATTTGACGTCCAGAAAATGATTTTCCAGCTGATGTGGTCACTAGTGCTTCGCTGAGTGTACAGGAAGCACAAATGGCTTGTGAATTAATGAGGATATTGAACAAAATGAAGGGTAAAGAGGTGGAGCATTTGAGGTAGGATCAATATTGCCATTTTGCCGTCTAAATTTTGATCAGAATCATAACAGCTCTTTATTTTCCCTGCGACTACATGCTTAAAAGTTTCACAAACTAATCCAGTATTAGTAGCCTGATGGTGGAAGATTCCACGCATTCAAGATTCTGCTGTACAAGGGATTGAAACACAACAGTTTGAAAATATATATAGATTCTTGTCTCCTCAATAACGTCCTTTACTATACAAGATAAGGGATTGGTGATCGGGGATCTGATCATCAACGAAAAATATTAGATGCATGTGAAAGTGCAGATATGGATGAAGGATCCGACAAGATTGAATAGTAATATTGATCTTTCACCTGCTAATATTTTACAAATAAAAAATTTATGATTGAGACATGAACCCAAAATCTTGATCCCAAAAGTACTCATGCTGTCACAAAATAGGGGTCCAGCACCATCTCAACACTATCCGTTCTCCAGCCGGCATATCAATTGTCAAGGCCTTGAATCGGTGTCTCCATAATGACAAGAACATCTCCTGCTACCACAGGGTTTTTTGAGGATAATTATACATCCATCACATGCATATCTTGAAAAGTAATGTGAAAGGGTTCTACCGTTCACACTAGGTGGCGTTAGGAAAATGTAGGGGGGATTCGGTACTCAGGCAACTACTGTTCATCACTTGTAACATGTGTGATTGCGATTCAATTATATTACTACAACTAAGCTGGTTCCGAACAAATAATTGAACCTTTTTTCCTGTGCTAATCCCACTGTACTGATGTACGTAATTCACTTGTATATCCAAGTATCCAACCACAACTGGAAGTTCTAATACACGTTAACAAACAGAAAGATGCCAATTTCCAAGCAAGAAAATGTCAAATTGTAGAACAATTAGTTTCGAGGAACAATTTTTTTTCTTGTTTTAAAGCCTGCATTGAGTACAAAGTATACTAATTTTGAAATAGTTTTCTGTTCATAAACTAATCATACATCAAAGTCTTAGCAAACTAAAAATTGAACTTTTCCCCTGCCTAACAGATTAGGGTTCGAACTTGACTGTTAGGTTTGGGGATAGGGAGGGATTAGCGGAGAGGGGGAAGGTAAAAATAAAAAGTAAAATAAAATTAGAACTTTAGAAAAATTTTGGATTTATTCTTTGATCTCGACATGACTAAATGTAAGACATTTGTAGCAAATGTTAGTGTGTTTATTTGGATAATAAGTTATGTCTATTAAAAATTGCCAAATGACACCAATAGAAAAATTCAACTAGGAGACTAAATTGAAATTGTTGGACTAATAAGCAAATATTCATTGCATCAAATTATCCTGCAAATCATGAAATAATCATGTACAACTCACAAAATGAAATAAAAATATCCAGAATATATCCCTCCACAAAGACAAGAGGACAACATCATGTGAACCAACTACGAACAGGGAATTTAATGCTCTAGAAAGTTAATACAAAAATAATTTACAAACGTTAATAGCTAGATATATATATATAAGGGATTTTCATAAATATAAGTACCTATACACGTAATACAAGTACACATATGCATAGAAGAAATCGTCTACAGATAGTCCGACCCATGTGAACACATATGTTTATTTGACATGTATTAGAATAGTATATATTGGATTTGGATGGATACCAAGACTAATTAGGTCATTATACACAAAGAACAAATAAAATTTCCAAGTGTGTTTTGATCACTGTTATGTGCATATATGTATAATTATTGGTCGTCAAACAATCATTTAAACCATAGAAAGAATGGAAAGTGATATGTGACACATAATTCTGTATATTGTCCGACAAAATTTTCAACCAATACAAGTAAAACTTGAAACATACGAAACTATAAGATATATTGATATGATTAGATTTCTTAACAAAATGTATTAGAAATAGTATATAGTTTACAAGTTACATCAGTGTATTGGATATATTACATATTACTCGTACAAACTCTCAACAATTACAAATAGAAGTAGCACTTGTTGAAGTAAAACTTGACTATACATTTGTTTTCGCCTACCAATCACTCTCAAAGATTTCAATGTGAAAGGAATCATAATGATTCGTTTTAGGAGCGACTCTATGCTACCCCAATAATGGGGACTAAAAATTTAAAGCAATTGGTGCACGTTACATGGGGTTTGCCTCCTATAAATATGATGCTAGTTAACTCCTCCTATTCATTAGTATTATCTTATTTTAATTGATTGTTTGAGGAGAGTAAAATTTGCAGTTATGGGCTCACAATCACAAGCCAACCTCCCAATCGTATACTTCACCCGGGAAACTCTGAAGCCAGGCGCGAGTTCTTGGCTGTCAACTTGCAAGAAAGTGCGAGATGCACTTGAGAAGCACAGCTGTTTCTTGGTTCAGTATGAAAGAATTCCTTCAGAGCTGATCAGTGCAATTTTCCTGCAATTAGGAGAGTTATTTGATCTTCCCACAGAGACCAAAGTCCAAAATATTACCACAACTGATGGTTTGTTCGGCTACTTTGGGCAACAGCCGACAAATCCTACTTATGAAGGCATGGGAATTGAAGATGTAAATAATCCAGAAGCAGTGCTCAAGTTCACAAATCTCATGTGGCCCTCAGGAAATGATAGTTTCTGGTATATTTGAATGTTTTGTTTCCTGATTAAACTTTTGGCAAATTTGGTTCTTTAAGTCCTGAGTTGAGTTGTGTTTTGCGGTACTTTGCTTATCAGTGAATTGATGGAGTCCTACAAAAACCACGTTTCAGACCTTGAAAAAATTGGTGATGAGAACGATTTTTGAAAGCTTTGGTGTTGAGAAGTTGTACAGCTCTCATGATGAATCGTGCAATCGCATGCTTCGATTCAATAAACACAGGCCACCACAGATGAATGAGAATCTTGGTGGTGTTCCTGAACACACAGATCCAACTTTTGTGACAATAATTCAACGAAATCAATTTTCAAGTTTAGAGGTGAAGTCAAAGGAAGATGGAAGCTGGATTGCTGTTGATTTTCCTCCATCATCATTTCTTGTCATGGCTGGTGACTGCTTGGTGGTAGGTTCTCCTTTCCTTGTCTGTACTTTGTTACTAAATAAAGATTAAGAAATGCCCATCATTCACAAGGCTTTCTAGTTGACCTTCCTTTCTTTTTTTAGTTGGTTGGAGCTTGGGAGGCTTGGTAATTGGTTTCGATGGGGATCTTAAGTCCGCATCGCCATCGAAGGATGATAATTGATAACTCCCCATCCCCATTAATGTGCGCATATAATTGGAGTAGTTGTCAACTTCAGGAATATAAGCCATGCATGCTTTTTAAAATGGTAAATTGCGACACGCACCCCTCAAATATCATTAATTTTGCAGTTTGAACTTTAATTTAGCACTTTAGTATCTTATACCATTAATTTATGGCACATTATTCAAATTAGTTGAACAATTAAATTTTCTTGGTATATTTTTGTGAAAAAGAACTAATATGCATCTGTTTACTGAGTTATTCTTTATTGTTCAAGAGGTACTAACGTTCTATCATTCAAAATTCACATTTTTTTTTTGGTTTCAATCATTTTGAATAATGTGCTATAAATTAATAGTATCAAATAATTGAGTGTTAAAATTGATATAGCTTAAGGTGCAAAATGCAAATTGGTGATAGTTATAAGTGGAAATTCCAATTAATCCTTTCGAAAAAGCGAAACATTGTCTCTCTGTCTCTCCCTTTTTCTTTTCTTACTTGGCTTTCGTTATCCTTCCTAAACTTCGAAACCAAAAAACTACTTGCCAATTATTGAGGGCTCAAAAGTGCAAATTAGAATTAACCCTTTAGAAAACATAAAATACTAACTCGTTTTCTTTCCTATTCCCATTGCTTTTCTATTGTTATCCTTCCTAAACTTTGGTATGGTTCCATTGGGAATAAACTACGGCAAAAGAGCATCACATTGATTAGAGTACCATATTGATTTTCCAAGACTAGAAGCGTGAACATGTAAATATTCTTCTTGGCTTAGGCATGGAGCAATGGTAGGGTGCATTCAACTGTGCACCGCATCAGAATGAGGCCAGGGGAAACAAGATTCTCGACTGCACTATTCTCGTACCACAATGGGATGGTTCATGTTCCAGAAGAGCTAGTGGACGATGAGCATCCTTTGCAGTTCAAACCATTTGATCAGATGGGATTTTTTCGTTTTACTTTCGCTTACTACCCTCTGAGTGATGAGAGTAAAATTAAAGCTTATTGTGGTATTTAGGACTTCCTTTGTTTGCTTTACTTTTGGATGTGAACTTTTAGTGCATGCTCATGTTCAGTTTCCTCCGTGAATGAAGTGTTCCATTCCTTTCTAGGATCTTGAGTTTGTTCTCTTGCAAACTGATATTTCAAGCTTTCCTACATTCTGACCTTAACCTTCAAAATGACATATTGAAAACTGAAGATAATTCTTTTAGCCCTTATTTCCCAATCAATGTTTGATTGAAGACAAATTTGGTTGCGTAGGTCATCACAAAATCCAATATAGTGCCATATACCATGACAATCAACAGAAATTCCCTGATTACTAATGGTACGAACTCCAGCGAAAAAGGAGTCAAAATGAAGCCCAAGTATCCCAAAAGAAGAATAACTTTTCTTACACTATCCGTGAATATACTGGCGAAATTGAATAAATATCATACCATCTGAATTTGATCTAAATATGGTAGGAGTAAATGTAGTACTAATTATCCACCAAAAGAAAATGCAAAGAATTTCATCTAATATGGTAGGAGTAAATATAGTACTAATTAAACACGTACATATCTTATTTTTACTACCTTGATCAAACTGTTAACGTTTCAACAATAATCAAGTAACTATGTAAATCTCTATTCAACTCTCAAAATTTTCCTTCTCCCCTTAATTTCCTTGTAAGCATAAAATTTCTTTTCAGTAAACAACAATAATAATAATAACAAAATCCTCAACATGTATCAATCCCCCATCATTTCAAAAGTAGCTATGTTTTGAATTATTTTTTGTAAATATTATCATGTGAATGTTTGGATAGTAAATTATTTACACTAATTTATCAAAATGCAAGATAAACACATTTTTCAATCACCTTTTATATCATATACATCACATAAAAAATGTGTTAGAATATTTTCTTCATAGAATTATCCCAACTAAATCTCCTATCTAAATACAAGTAATCTGTCAAGTGTTAATGAGGGTTAGCTTGACCATAAAAGCGATGAGCAAAGCACGAGTTTAGCATGGTCTTAAACTGCGCTTTTTTGGTTGCAGTCAAGGTGCACAGAGTTTCCATTTCATAACTGTAGCATCGAAGGACAGAAGCGGGATGCTGGTGACACGTGCTTAAACTTCCCACGCCTTTGAGGATTCTTACTTGTTAGTTGTCTTGTCCAATTATCCGCGACTCTTCTCGTCCTGCCCAGTCCTCACCTTCCAGCTGCGGCACTCAACTCTGCGACAGACGCACAAGCGCCTCCCATTACATCTTCTCTTTCTTTCCCCAATGGCTTTCCCTTTTTCAATGCAAAACCTCCCATTTTCTTCAGCTCTCCTCGGCGCAACACGACGGCGTACCCTTCTTCCCTTTTAACTCTGCCCAGTAACCGTAGTCTCCTGAAAATTCCAAGGAATGCAAAAAATCAAGAAAAATCCCTTGCTGGAGCCTTGACTTGCAAAGCAATGGTTCAGCAAACAGCTGTCCAAGGAGCTACTGCTGCTTATGCTAAAGAAATGGAGAGACTTTCGCTAAAGAATCCCTTCTTCTTGCTGTAAATTCATATAATCTCCTTGTGTTATTTGAAGTTTTTCTTCACTTTTGACCACTAAAACTAGGAAATTTAGCTCTCTTAATCAGTTCGTGTTTGATATCACTATTCTTCTAGATGGGGTTTTCTGGGATTTCAGTTTTTCGTTGTTAGTTGCGATAATATTGTCCGATTTTTCAGCTCTGTTTTATTTCTATGCTTCTAATCTTGGTTGTTAAAATCCCAAAAAAGAAGCAAAGGAGATAAACAAAACTCTGCTTTAATATTTTCCTTTTTCACGAAATTTTTTAAATGTCTTGATTTTGAGGGAATATACTGCAATTGGTCCCTATTATAGCTAGTTTGTGAGTTGAGGATAGAAAAGAAAAGAAGAGAAAGGGTAAGTTATGTGAGAAAAGAAAGGATAAAAAAAAAATTTGTAAGCTTCCATCAGTTTTCCTTCGCTTTCCGCCCGTTTTGGTCAGAAAAATTTTGCACTGTAGCAGCGCTTGGCTTCTCTTCAAGATCCGTTCGTTTCTTTCTTTTCCGTCTCACTTAAATCTCCCAAACGTGAAAAGTCCACCTTTCCCTTCCTTTCTTTTCTATTCCTTTGAAATCTGAACTCCCAAACTAGCTAAGAAGCCCCATTTTCCTCTAATTACCCACTTAAATATGTAGACAAAGGATTATTACCCCACCTCCTCCTCCCCCGCAAAAACAAACCCACCCCCAAAAAAAAGGGTAAAAGGTAAATAAGGACTTGCTGCCTTAGTATCTGAAGTTTATTGGTTAAAGCCTCATACTTTTCTGGGGAAGATGTGGGGTGCACCGAGTAACTGATGTTTGGTGTAAAGATGTGGATGTAGCTTGTGATATTGCTGGTGCAAGTTCCAAATTTTAGTGGGAAACCAACTGGATTGGCCTTTTTTCCCCGGCCTCTTTGGTCAAATGATTAATGTATAGATTTGATTTTCGGGTTTGATGTGATTAATCAAGAATAAAGATAGATTTTCTTATTTCAGTTCAAAGATGCAGGGGGGTTTGAAGCACTAGTGACTGGAAATGTAACAGATATGCAGCGGATTGATGTGAATGAGAGGATAGTAAGTCTTGAGAGACTCAATCCGATTCCTCGACCAACAACGTAAGGTTTTAAGTCTAATGACAAGGCTGCTCAATCTTCAAATGCATAAGGTTTATCGACTTGGCACTTCATTGATATTTTCAGCTGTCCAGGTCTCCTTATCTTGAAGGTCAATGGAATTTCAAGTGGTTTGGAGATGGAAGTCCTGGCTTTTTTGCCGCTAAGTTGGTATTTCAGTAAGTGTTCTGTTATGGTGGTGATTATCTCTGTTCACTAGAGTGGTCTCTGCCTATGTATGCCCATGTAGGCACCACAGTGCTTGTCCTTTAGGAAAGTTATAGGAGTTTTAGAGCATCTCTCAGAAATCTTCACTTCATTATGGGCATAAGAAATGATCTTCGCTGCCTAAGAGAGCTCCGTGCTTGTTTGACATCCTGCCCTTTTTTTCTTTTTTGGGGTGGCTTGAGTTGTTGGTAAGGAATCCCGAATCCCTGAGACCTTCTTTATCTTGTTAGTTCGTTTTTAGCCAACTTCAATTTAGTCCTAATTCTGTTGGATATTAAAACTATTTGGGCTGCATTTCAATTATCTTAGAGAGAATGTTCTGAAATCTATGGCATACGTTTGGTAGGATATCTACTCAATCACTGTAAAAGTAGATGGACAAGCCAATATCACTGGCAGTAATGTGGTTTTGCATTCACAGGACATTTCCTTCAACGTTGGCTACTCTATCGAAACTTGATGTGCTGATCAAGGATGGATATGCCAATATCACTGCAAATTTGAAGTTTGTTA